GCAAAAAAAAAATAATAAAAAAAATATAGATATTTTGTCTCCAGCCAATTTTTTCTAGGCATTAGGTTTCATTCACTATGTCCTATGGGGCTATACAGAAACTTACATTATATATTAAGTTTCCATCTCATACTTGTTAACTATATACACCGAAATGATATTTATTTTATCTAAATAAATATAATTTCGGTGTGCTTCCCTAGCTTTTATAAATTCATTAGTCCTTGTTAAACTTTGTGATAAACCGATACGACTTTCAAACCTTCAAGAAAAATTCTGTTTTAAAAGGCCGGCGATGTTCTGTGACTGCTCTGGTTTTGCGTCTGCTCTTTGCCTCCTATTCCATAAAAAAGATTAATTAAAAATTTAATTATTAATTTACTATGCTTTATACTTTCAGGTTTAAAATCAGCAGCTCAACCTCCAAATACAACAGAAGAAAGCTCACAGAATTCTGACATGGGTGATACCAAGAGTCTTTCTCCTCCTACAAGCGTATCAGAAGTATCACCTGACGCGGAACCTCGGCTTGAAACCGACTCCACACCCACGAAAATGGAAGTGGATTTGGAAATGGAATCTAAGGATAGTATTGAACAGCCTGAAGAAACCCTTGCCGATATGAAAGTAGATAGTCCGGTAAGTCATCAGAACTAATCTTTGTAGGAACGTAATTACAGTGGTCCAATTAGGTAGGGATATTTACATCGTGTTGAGACGAATTTATATTTAAATAGTCATGTACACATTGAGGTGTTACTGCCATTGACGTGTTCTAGTTGCGAAGCCTTGATGTGACACTGTCACTCTTTAGACTTAGTTAAACAAGCTCAATAGATACACATAGTACAATAAAGTTGTTGTAGTCCAATTCTTGTTAATGTATTTAATAATTGTACTCTTAAATTTCAGAATACACCTACAGACAAATCCCCAGCTACACCTACGGATATATCACAACACACACCAACAGACATATCACAAGATTCAAATTCAATTCCAAACATAGCACAACTGTCCCCAGCTGTTTCCACGGAAGATACGGACAGTGACAAGGTGATACCTAGACTAGTCAATACCTCAGTGCCCTTAGATGTCCTAACCTCCGTTGACCCAGAACATTGGAGCACAGCTGATGTTGCCAAATTCCTCACAGTCAATGACTGCCAACCTTACTGCATCAACTTCACCAATATAACTGGCCCAATGATGCTACAACTAACAAAAGACGAAATCATCGAACTATTAGAAATGAAAGTAGGCCCTTCATTAAAAATATTTGACTTGATACAACAGTTAAAATGCAAAATAAAACAGCCTCAGAGTAGATTGCTAAATAGTTTTAAATAGTGTTTATTTGAATAAGCTGCCTCACTACATGTTTGTAAAGTTCTGTTGCACTGATTACCAGTTATATGCCACAATATTTTAGCTCATAGGTAATCTTATTGAGTATGGCAATTTACCCCTCAGTCAGAGTGTTCTACATATCTCAGGTCTTCTTGTCCCTTCGTTTAACTAAGGGATATGGTACACTATGCAGGATGGCATAACTTTTAAAATTAAAGTGCAATCATGAACTTGATAATACAAACATGCAGTGATGTAGCTTATACACACTAGTAATTCAAATTTGAAATATTATTCCCGCCTATATTTTGGTGTCGCATAATAACCGGTGTTGTTTGCAAATCGGATCGATAGTCACCAGAATTTGATATCACAATTCGTGAAAGACATTTTTCGTCTTTTATATTCGCCAATTATTTTTATTTATTAATTTTCTTTAAAGTATGAACGGCTTTGAGAATTTTACGAAGCAATGTTGGTAGATTATTATGGCTCTTTTCAAAGCATGTGTGGTATTTTATTGGGTCACTTGATAATTACTTGAAAAATGCCTAGGCAATACCAAATTTGTCCCTTTTGGATGAACTACTCGACTAATATTGCCATAGAGAAAGCATGTATGCATGTTTTATCTAGATGATATTTTCTTACAATTTAATATTGTTATGGCTCATAAACGTTTGTGGTTGTTATGTTTACTCATACTGTGATCGTTGCTGAGTAATAGTCAAATATCAGTTCTACTATCTTCATATTTATTTAGCACACCATATACGCTTGGCTTATAATACATAATGTCCATTCCATGTTTTAAATATAATGAATGTCGTCATGGATATCTTATGCAATTGATTTTATGTCACAGTTTTATTTTATATCTTTAAGATTATTCCTACATATGCAACAATGAGTTATTTTACTGTATAGATATTTTTGTGTGTAATTTTAATTGATCTCGATGTTAAATAGCTAAATTGCATGTTGCCATTACAATTTTTGGCTTGAGCCAAATTAATTATAGTGTTCACCAGTCAATTTTATTTAATGGTTATAATGAAAGCTATTTACTTTGGACAAAATAATAGTGTGGCATAGTAATAAAACTCGCATGAACTTATAAAGTAATAATTATACAATGTTACTGAGTATTTTTATATAAGAGTTGTTAACAGATATGTGTTGTTTACATTATATATTTGTGAATATAGTATTCATAGAACCTGCCCCAATTCCCTCACAAAACCACGAAGCAATAATTAATAAGATATCATAGTCAAATCATTTGTATTTTAGTCAATATGGCATTGATAAATCTGTATTTTGTAATAGTCAATTTTAAAATCATGAATTTGGTATGTGTGATTAAAATGTAAAACTGATATCGAAATACTCAAACGCCACTCAATCGTAAGACGCGCTTAAGTATGGTTCTGACACAAATTCTTTGTAAAATGATAGAGATGGCATATTGAAGAACAACTTAAAATTGAGTAGCCTTTTAGAATTCGGGTATAAGATTCCGTTTATGAGCACCAAATTTTACCCAAGTAGGTAGTAACAAAATGAGTTGTAAATATAGTTTTTATAGCATTCCTCATTTTGTTGCGACAAATTGGTATTATTTTGAAGACAATGGTGACAAGTGACAAACGGGATTTTAAATTGAAACAGTTTTATGCTTAGACAAAGAGTTATATTCAGTGATAAATACATTGCCTTTTTAGAGACTTGAATAAGAATTTATATCATTTAGTACCATCAGCATAGTACTGTAATAGTTTTAATGTCCTGGTATTAAATTGAAAGTAAAAAATTGATTTTCATTTTTTCTTTTACCCTGTATCTTGTATAAATTACCCAGATCTCTCCACATATGTTTTTTTTCTTCTTAGACATTTTCTTAGCACCAATGATTCCAAAGTATTAGGGTATGGTATCATTAATAATCAGATCTTATGTCATGTATGTAGGTTCAGTCTTATTCATTCATAAAATATATATCTTCACCAGTAAACATCTTTATTGGTACTTAAGTCTTGGAGTATTTGACTTGTAATTAATCTGAAACAGGTAAAGAATTATTTGGTGACATGAGACAACATCAATCTATCCCTGAATAATATATTAGTTATCTAGATAACACTTACTAATAGATTGATATATTCCAATATAAAATATGAAATTAAAATATCACCTGATAGTGTGCAGTTGCACTGTCGATGCATATAGCGCGCAGCACAGAATATTCCCTGATCTTTGTGCATGACATTTGTGATATTCAGAACACCAGTAAGTTTCGCACATATTGCCAATCTCGTCATTTATTTCTGAAATTAAAATTACTTTTAATTGAAAATCAAAGCCTTATTGGATTAACTCTCATGATTAATGCAAAGGCTGAGCAACTGGCTGCAGTGCAGGGCTCAGTTTCTATACAAAAAAACAGTAGTTTGTGGGATCCACAAACAATCTTTGGAGAAACTACAGAGATTTACCTACTACAATCCTTTAGCTTCATTAAATTCAAGTCATATACAGCAAGAAAGAAGCATACCTTTATTATTTCCATCTTTCAGTTTTAATTCTGGTGCCAAATCTCTCGCAGATGTTACATAAAATGTTCGTAGGATGTCCATTCTGTGTGCCCCTGACATTCCTCTACCTTTTTGGCTGGATAGGTGCAAATGACGTGAAAATACACAACGACGCCTATTTATGTTTATTAAAAGTAATCTGAAAATGAAATAGAAAACATTGTGTAATAGGTGGCAGGTGGTAAGATGACGTTGGTAGAGTAGTTGTAGTATTAAGTTCGATTCCTGAGTCGAGAAGACATTTTCAGATTTTGAAATTTTCAGTAGTAAGAAATAGAGCAGTGCCTGACGGACGCCCATAGACTCGCTTAATATGGGACTCTTTGACTTAACTGGCGAAAAGGAAAAGACATTATTAATTTTCTTCGTCAGTTATGAATAATTATCTTCTGATTTATCCATGGAAAAGAGTATAATAGGTTTTCATGTCCTGGCCCCTGGGACACACTGAACTTCAGTGTTTCTTGTTTTCTTGGCTGTATTTACTGTAGACCTAGACTAGATCCTGGCTTACAAAAGTTGCAGTGGTAACTTATCCCAGAAGAATGGATGTCACATTTTGTATCCAAGAAATCTAGTTATTGAAACCCAACTCACCCTAAAACACATGGTTCAAATGTCAAGCTCATAGGAAAGTTTCGAGGGTGAACGAGTTTTGCCTCTTTTATAATTGATGCATAACCTTCCCAGCATTGAAGAACTATTTCATCAATCTGTGATAACGCCGGGGTTGCTCCACACACGACCAGAATGTAAACATCTGCAAGAAGTTTACATGTCACTGCTCTGAACGCTACCTGGAAATTAATTATTTTTTTAGATATACTTATTTTATTATTTATAGAAACAAACTTTAACTACTTTATCTAGACTCCCCACTATATTATAAAGAAGTTCATTAGTTATTTATATTTGGTAGCAAATAAGAGAAATAATTTTTAAAAAATCACTGCTTTTTATAATTCCTAATTTCAACATTCTTTTCTTTCTTATTGGATGATGCGAGTTCACTCTCTTACTTTATCCATATAAAATAAATTTTTAAATAAGTCTTTTAAATATTAGTGATATGAGTGTAAAATACTAACATTGGGACTCATTTGTGGTAAATATACGGGAGTGTCTCGTAATGGTGCACCATCTTGTGCAGATGCTAGCAACAACATGAGTCTGGCTTCTCGAGGATCAAGTTCATAGAAATCTGAACTGGTGGCGACCAGATGTCCATGGATTATGAGACAAGCCCATCTGCCTGTCACACTTTCTGCATAGTTGTCTAGCGCTTGCTGAAATAAATGTTATATTTTTATTTTATCTTTATGATAAGTCTAAACAGTGATCTAGAATTGGCTTTAGGTATAATATATCTGGGGTATGTATCCAGAAATTAGCACACTAAATAGGGCTTGGTAGGTACTTATGTAATATCCAGACCTATGTATTTTAAATTGTCGAACACCAAGCGGTCACCGATGACCGCAACCTATTGTTCTATAATTGTGTCTATAATGACGGTACTCAATGAGTTAAAGTTGTTACAGCATACAAAAGTAAAAATAGAGAAGATGCTTATTATGTAAATTGGTTAAAAATACAAACCTGCAACTGCTGAGCTTGTGGGCATAAAATGCTTTGTATCAAATCCAGGACTAATGTTGGAAGTGGACTTGACAATGCATTGGGATCTAAAGACTCTAGTAAATAGTCCAAGATAGGGTAACACTGCCTCAAGTCCCTTTTAATCTGGTCAATGTTCTTTAAAGTTTCCAGTTCTTTCTTCCCTATGCAGAAGACCATAGCATCGTGAATGCAGGACAGTAGAAGTTCTAGATCACATTCCAATCCCCCTGTTGCTATGCCTATTAAGGTAACACTAAAAATATATATATAGTTAAGTTATATTGTTTCTGTGCTGTAAAAATGACTGATCAAAAAAGTTTATTATCTTCACAATTCTTCCGAGCATTAAGTACAGTGATTATGCTTCTTCCTTGTGACTGCCTTCTTGGTGTGATTTATTACCAATAAGAATATTGGGCATGCAACTGTCCAACAATCATATTGGTAGTTGGACTCTACACAAAATAATTAAAGTAAAAGTGTATTATAGTCCAACTTAAATACTTAAATGATTTGACTTGGACTTCGCAATGCTACCGATTGACCACATTAGCATTACTAAAATATTATTTATTAGTGATGCATACCTTTTACAAAATTCTTTCCAGAGAATAGTTCCATTGTCAACTTGTGTGTTAAGCATGGATAAATTGTGACATTTACTGAACATGTTGATGCCATGGAGTGATGCTATGGTGGAGAATTGTACCTGAATATTTACAATAGATATTAATTTTGTATGTATGTATGTTTATAGGTACATATCTTTCGAAGTCAACAGTGGTTTTTTTTAAGCTGGGAAAATTATCGAATGACTGCTCCCGCCTAGGTGAGGCGGGAGGGAGTGTCAGACTCTTACTGACTAAAAACCACCCCGTTCCTTCTCCTGCACGTCTAGCCGGAGCCCTGGTAACTCGGAACTATGAACTATAGAGTAGAAATTATGATAAGCAATAATTAATGTTTATAATAGTTTGCAGAGTTGACTTTGATAACTAATACAGAAATCAGTAACATTGAATGATATGAAAATATATATTTTTTAGCACAGACTGAAGTTATATTAAAATATTAGATCTTCTTTACAATATTAGTATAGAATTCTAGATTATATTCTTATTCTAATTTGCAGTTATAAGTACTGGAATAAAATTAATTTAATTATAATTTTTAGATACTTAGATAAATAATACTCACGCTCTCATTATTACCGCGTTTCCTTGAAAATATTGGCACCCCACTTTCAGTAGCTACAGCAATTACCACAACAGACATGATTTATTTTTAGTTTTACACCTTTTTCAATAGGTCGTTGTGTTTACAAGATTCGTAAAAGTTCAACAACTTTTTGAACTTTTTTGACAATTCAATGACAGACATACATTGACCTTGACAGACAAAATGTTGCCATGTTGGTTTTTAGAACTTCCTCATTAATCAGCTAAATATTCGTGGAAAAAAAGGATAACAACTAATTATTATTAGCCAAAATAAATACTTTTAAAATTAGAATTTAGGACCAAATTTTATCAACAAGCTTATTATTTATATAGTTTTCCTCCATATTTATATAGTTTTTCAAAAAAACAGTAGTAGCACGGAGTCTGGAATTGTGCCCGGTATATGGCAATAGGCTCACCCCCTATTACATGGGACTCATAACATAAATAGTGAAAAGTGGGTGTTACATTGTACAGTGGCATAACCGCATAATGTACACCTCTGCCTACCCCTTCGGGAATAAAAGGCGTGATGTTATGTATGTATGGATGTATTCCTCCATAAAATTACTTTTTAGGATTATTTTTAAAATAATACAAAATAATTTCTTAACATTATAATATAGGTAATTGTATTTTAAATCTAAAAGGCACATTGACTGACTCGATGAAATGTAACATTTATGTCAAAAACTAGTTAACAATACTAAAAATAAAAATTATTAAAAATATTCGATTAAGTACTTAGTTGGATGTACTATCACTGGTATAGATTCAATATATGTAATTTATAAATTACAATATAACTTATGTACTATGAGGTATACTCTCGACGGCGGTTCTTTTTTATGTAAATGTATGTAAAGTACAAGAGCACGAAGGCATTTTAAGTAATTTAATTTAGAGTGCTGATTTACAGCACAAAATGTGTACAAAATATTGTAACAGGCACTTAAGGACATTATTACATTCTAATAAGTAGAACCGACTATCGTCATATTTGAGTCGCTTGTTGATTTTCTGTGTTTTGTTCTGGAGTCTCATCAGCTGTAAGATAATAATTATGTCAACCTTATTATTTTTGACTTTATTATGCAAAAATTGTGAAACATTAAGTTCTACTTACGGTCGTCTTTGGAGAGCAGTTTGGGACCAGCTACAGCAATAAGTAATGCGCCTAGAGGAGCCGATATCATTACACTTAGAACACTGACGGCTAAAATAGCCTTTGCATAGTATTCTTCATCTGCTTTAGCAACTCCTGATGTTTGGCCACTATTCACCAAGTCTAAGGCAGCTGGTCCTAACGCTGCCTGTAAGTATTAATTATATTTCTTATTGTAAACTCATATTTATATACGTACTTACAAGTAAATATCATACTGATACTTCTACATACCTGTACAGTAGCTTTGGCTGTCCATGTGAGACCGATGAATATTTTCTCTTTGCTATTAAGGCCACATCCAAAGCTTACGAAAAATGTTGCAATTGCACGAATAACTAAGCAGCCAAGAAGGCATATAGTGGCCATTTTTATAACTTGTGGATCTAAAGCGCTAATCTGTGAATAAAAACAAATTTCGAATCTGATAAGTAAGAATCACTATCCTATTTGCAAACATACTTTTATTTTTGTGAAGTAGCTTACCGTAACCTGAGCTCCTGTAAACGCAAATAATATAGGCTCGAAGAATATCCACAGGATTCTAAATACATTGCTGACTGGGTTTTTGTTTACGACCCAGCCTTGCTTTTCCCAGAAATATGCGGCTACAAATCCTGAAGATACGATAGCAAGAGGGCCTGAAATTATGATACATGAATTTAGTATCCCGGTAGTATAAAATAAAAGGCAATCAAATTCTTATCAGTTAATAAATCGATGTATTACCTGCACCACTCCACCCAATCATACTCGATATGAACAGAGAGAATAGGCCTCCGAGAAATAGGCCCAAGAATCTTAAAGGTACTACATAAGAGTCGCCTCTTTCAGGCATAACTGAGAGCAGAGCTCCCCAAAGTGATCCGAGAACAACACCGGCAACAATGGATAGTGGACCCTAGAAATAAAAGACTTAACTGTTTTATATAATTCAACATGATAATAATATAGGTCCATAGTGTTAAGGTTATTGTCAACTTTATAACTTGCCTTTATAATATTGAAAGTAGCAGATCCAGTTGAGAACATTGCGTTTAGAATGATGGCGAAGATTGCAACGCTAATGGAGTCGTCTACCGCAGCTGCGGCAACTACGATTGTTGGAATACCTTTAGCGACTCCATATCCTACGTCACGTAACCTAAATAGACAGGGAACTACTACTGCTGGTGATACTGAAGCTATCATTGATCCTAGAAGAAAACCTACAAGAAAAAATGTTTAGAATTCAATCAACTACAGTATGGGTTATATAGAGGTATTATGAGATTTGAAGTGCCATTACAATTAATTACTACTCACCCCATATCCAAGGTAAATATAAGAGATAATGTGAGCTGATTGCAATAGCCACACATTCAACCAGCCATGGTAAAAGACCCAGTTGTAGAACAGCAGCGTAGTGTTTCCTTAAAACACCTGCGTTCAGACCAAGACCAGCTCGTGTTAGGATAATCACCAGTGCTATTTTTCTGTGAAAGTTGAAGACATATTAAAGCACAGGTGAATCTCGTTATTTGAATGCAGAAAAGTGGCATTAGGAATAAGAATTACCTTAGATCTTGATTTAATTTTCTATAAGAGTCCGTCATGTGGACCAATTGAAGGTTTTGGAATGCTATCCCAGTTAGAAGCATGCCTATAAGTGCTGGCAATGTAGTTACTTTTAGCCATATCCAACCTATTAAGTACGCAGAAATGACTAGTACTGACATGCTAAATAGTTCGCCTTGTAAACCTACTGATTCTCCAATCTCTGAATATAGTACGCCCCATGTGAGTAAAACTGAAAAGAAAACAGACTTATTAGTTTCGGCTTTGCAATTTCTTTTTTATTCTTTTACGTAGACTGTGACGTAACGTAAACAAATCCAGTAGCACGAAGTATTCCTTATAAAGTATCTATAGTAGACTAAGTTGCATATAGCAACAAATCTTAGAATCCACGGTCAATAGGTACTGTATTAGTTGTAGGGAAGGGTACTAATTCAGAAGCCAAACAGATGACACTGTTGAATTAGAGCAGATGTGTTTATTTAAAGTTACAGTTTAACTACAACTGAAATATAAATATTTTCTTTTGTGATCATGAGGTTCTTTGGTTTGAGTGCATGATTTAGGCTGGCATTGAAAGTAAGTATGTACTTACATTAAGATAAATGAACCCATGTAGATAGTAGACCAGTAGATATCTAATCTCTAGTTATGTTACGTAATCTCCGTGTAATATGCTGAATAAACAAAGAATACTGCTAAAACCAATACTTACAGAACATTATAATGCATATTTGTTGCGCGGTCTGTCTGTAAGTAGAAAATAATGGGAATGGGAAGAATTTGGACCACCATGATGGTTGCCAAGATGGTGTGGAGTCTTCTTGATGACATCGCAAACAAAATTTTTCCCACCAACTGAAAGTTAGGTATATTATTCAATGGTTTAATATGTCGCCACTATTACCTAATTATTTTTAGAAAGATATCTTTAAAGCATGTTTTACCTGTTATAAACTCTTTTCTTTTTGTCGTCATCATCTGTGGAGTATAGTTTTACGAATTAAAATATGATACATAGGAAAAGATAACGAAATAATATAATAAAATTGGCAAATAGAATGCAGGAATACGAAAAATAACTAGTCACAAGGTAATTGTATTGACAGACAGTAAACATACAACATAAGGAAGGAGATAATAGAAGTAAATAAATAGAGATGGTCAAATTGCGCCCTAAAGTTTTCTATAGGAATAAAGAAAATTTATTTAATAGATTTGATTTTAAGGCAGGCTACTGCTCTCTATTTATCAACTTCCTGCACAAAAGCTAGATGAAAGAAGTAAGATACCCAAATTCAAATTAGAGTTCACAACAAAGTTTTCTTTACCTACGAACGTATATACCCGAACACCTATAAACACAAATGAGATTGAAACACAGGTAAATCACAACACAAATAGTTAGTTTATAAAACACAATACATGATAACAAAGAATAGTGGTCTGACCTGGAGGATCGTGATTTTGTTCCATATCTAGATCTAAGTAACCACGCCGCTTAGCTGAAATCATTTCGATAATATTAAGAATCAGTATAAAATACGAACTTGTCTGTCGTAGTTATATTACAACTATAGATAATTATAATATGACTCCTATATGTGATAAGACTAGATATCTAAGGTAATTTGATTGGTGCATAAGATGCACACAAGAAAACGTAAAATATTTACGAGTATGTCTGAATAACAAGATTAGAATAATGTTTACTTTAATTATACTAAATAGATTTAGTACTTATGTCATGAATATGTATAAAGATTTCGTCTTTTCAAGCCTCCTGGCAAGTCAGGTAAAAAAAATCTACCTAAAATTGGCTAGCTACTACGTTTTTATTTTGAGTTAAAAATGAAGAGAACACTCGCACATTCACTTAAACTGTCAAACACCAAGCGGTCACCGGTGACCGCAACCTATTGTTCTATAATTGTGTCTACAAAACCGGTACTCGACGAGTTAATTGCATATTTCGTAACACTTTGTAAGATCTTGCAATATGAGTCATTATGGTCTGAAAAATACGTCAATCTAATTGTATTATTTACCATTTGTTTAGTGTACCTACTACTATGAATGAGTCACCGATTTATTTTTATTGATGCCGTTTATTATTATTCTTATTCTCAACCAGATAAAGAAGCAGATTACAGATTTCGATAGTCTGTTACAATTTCAGATGTATTATTTTTCAAGGTAGTGATATTGTGTTTTTAAGACATACCTACCAGATGTATGACATCGGTTCCTATTTAAGTGCAAACAAAGCCTACTCAATATTATCTTGTGATATTGTAGTAATTTTCGGTCTGCTGTGATCGTGAACATATTTTGATGAAATTTAACACAAGACAGCAAAAAAATATCTGTTTTCTTGGAAAACGACATTATTAAATATTACTTGTAGGATAGAGTATCTAATTACTTTAGATAGATTAAGATACTCTGATCATGTATCACAATGTGTCTAATCATTTCTAGGTACCCCCTTACCCAGACATTCAAGAAAGTCAAGCTTTTATTTTTATGTAAGCAATCGTTGTCGCCCATGGACAATATTTGACGAAGAGCTTTAGCCCTCACGAAGAAGGATGTTTGCTCAATAGTAGGGGAGCCCATGATGCTAAATTGGGATTTACTTGAGCGTCCTTGGGACCTACTGGATTTTGAAGATATGCTGATAGAAAGAAGAAATGGTTTAGTGACAATTTCTTCCACCAGTGGGGGAAGGGGGAATCTACAGATCTTTGAAATTGTTAAGCGTAACTTTTGTTCTAGTGGTCGAGCGTGTCAGATATTGATAATGTACATGCTCCATGTGTATTTAATTATAAAAAACTCTTAATCTGCCAGTTTGCATGCTGGGGTTGAATGTTCTGGAGAGTACAAACGAGAACCCTTCAAAATCCCCCCACTCTTGCAAATCAAGTTGGAATGGGCAGATTTTTTGCGCACGCACTTCCTTTAGCACGGTATTGACCTACCTTCCCTTAATCTGACGAAACTGACTTTATTTAGTCAGACTTTTTTTTTAATTTTCAGTCCCCCCCTTCTACTCAGATCGGATATATGTTGGGTATATTCAACATGACACTAGGTTTTCCCCATATGTTAATCTGACGCGCTCGAGTAACTACCGAAATCCCTTCATGGGCTCCCCTACTACAAGGCGAATTGGTGGTTTCAAACTTATAATCAGAAATTAGGTCGACGTTTCTTCATGATGTCTTCCTTCATTGTTTTTCAGTGGAATAATCTTAGAAAGTAACTCGAAAAATTCTCATAGGTAGGTATCTACTTGCCAGGTTTCGAACCCGCACCTTTTTACTTATAGCCACCATGAGTAACTAAATAAAACAGACTGACTTGATAGCAGAGTCGTGAATTATGACTCTTGATTGTAATTCATAGAATTTAAAAAAATAAATGACAACGATTTCTTTGTTATGTATTCAGCGTGATTGACACTGAAGAATACATAATACATAGTTTAACTAATGTAGATTATTTAATACTCCTAATATATGTATTCCTGATAGTTAGATCTTTTTAAAATATTACAGTTGGTAATAGCAGGTGAAATAAAAAAAAATATACACAATATTTTTCAGAAATTAAAATATTTAATAACTTACTTACCCTTAGTAAGTCTAAACTGTTAGTTGTTAGTAATTAAGTAATTTGAGTGCTTACTAATAAAGTAAAATAGTGAAATTAGGAGATTGTTTTTGTTTTACAATTCACGATTTGCGATAAAGAAAAATAAGTGCACGATTTTTTTTGCACAAAGCCTTAACAGTGTAACCGGTTTCAGTTTCGTTTTCATACTAACGTCCAGTAGTTATTTGTTTTATATTTACGTTACGAGAGAAGGCCGCTTAAAGTCAAAAGTCAACAAGATAAAACGCGCTGTTATTATTATCACATGTGATAAGTTTTTTTGTTCTGGCAACATTAAAACATGTTTGTGCTATAGGTAGGTACTTGAGTTGAAAAAAAGCGTAAGTACATACTACTTACGCTTTTTTTTCATTCCTTATTTATAGGGAGATAGAGAAAGTTTGTGAGAGCCAGAAAATACAAGGGGTAAAAATAATATATTGACCCTCCTGATTATAATAATTTCCTAAAATTGTATTAATACCACTTTACTCTACTTATGGATAAGACGTATTTCAATCAAATAGGTAATCTACCTATGTAGTCGCATAGAACCTAAAGGGTAACCGGGGCTCCGGCTCGACGTGCAGGAGAAGGAACGGGGTGGTTTTTAGTCAGTATGAGTCTGACACTGCCTCCCGCCTCACCCAGGCGGGAGCAGTCATTCGATGTTTTTTTTCTCCCCCTAAAAAAAATCTACCTATGTATTTGCAGGTAGGTATGTGTCTATTTGCCAACATTTGCATGTTGACTAAAGTCCATTTATACACATGTGTATTGCTGATACAATAAAGCGATATCACATGATATGAATACATACCTGTATAGGTACCTACTTAGCTACCTACTCTTGTTACAATTTATCAAGCGATCAATATATAGTAGAAAGCTTTTATTAGTCAAGTGTTTATTTAACAAAATATGAATTTTGTTGTTGTGTGCAAAGTTAAGTTCTGTAGGCACTTCAATTGTTTTTTTTATCTTACACACAGCTGTTTTGTTTTGACAAGTATGTTTTTAATCAACAGCTGATAAGATAGGTAATCAATGAAAGTGTTGTCTTGTACGCAGCTTTCTTTCCAGTCTTTATTGTAACATATTACTTTAACTAAACTTATAGATATAGATTGGATATGATTTTCAAACCAAATGCAGGAATATACTAAGTGATGTTGTTTTCCAAATAAATAAAAACATAACCTCAAAATGTATTTTAGGAATTTTTATGGTACATAAAAAAAGATGTAAGTACATACCTATGTAATATCTACGAACTGCTTAAATGTTTATTGATTTCATTATTAAAACGAAATACACTGTGATAATGATTTCTCAAAACATTAGTAACTTTTGCACAAACAGTAGAGGTATTAAAAATTTCAACAAGTTTTTGGTGGACATGGAGTGTAGCATATACTACTAACTAATATAACTATTTTGTAATTCAAATAAATATTATTAGCATTAATTTCAATAGGTAAACCTATTGTAAATAAATAATAAGTACACGAGCACTAAACGCGTCACTATAGTGGCCTTGGTAGCGATGTTGCTTGATACATAGTTCACTGGAATATCGTTAGATGTCACTATTACAAACAATTGTCTCAGATTTGTTCGTTTCACTATTTTGCATGATGCGGGGTTAAATTAATAATTTACTAATTTTTCACAAACAAAAGATACCTATTAACGTTTATGCTAATGTAAATAGTAATATTAAGATATTTGGCAATTATCTTATCTATTAGCAGCTATTAGTTTAGCACTTAACAGCTTGTATGATTATGTTACCTAAGTAGTTACCTGTTAAATTTATAGATACAAAATTAATTTTATCAGTTTGTGTAAGTGGTTAAGCTGTGACCATTGATGTTGTGAAGAGGCGTCTAAATGTCTGGGTCTGTATGTACCTGTTCTACAGGTATAACACGCACCTTCTACTGATATTTATGTGTTTGTGATGTCGGAATATATTGACATATTTAATTGTACACTGAACGAATTCAGAAGAGCCTGTTACTTTACCTGTACTCATCTGTGACTTAGCTTAAGAAATGATTGTTACCATAATATCTGATGAATATTATAATAGTATCTAATTGTAAAATAGAGACTTTGTAATTTTATTCTATAAATATTGCTATACGCTATTGCATTAGGTATTAGTTCCTGTAATGCATAGTTTATATATAAATAAATGTTTTCTGAGATGTATGAACTGTGTACTATGTTTCGGGAATCAAACGACTCCAAGGTTCCAAGTCCAAGCCCAATTTCGAAATGTTCTTCTCCAGTAACTTTTTAAAAATGTAAAATATATATATTTTTTTACTAGGTAAGTAAAAGCTTTTTTTAGTAGGGCTATTTTAATCTTAGGGCAGCCATAGATAAGAAGACCTATCCCTATCACATGGTTTAATTTTATGTAGGTAGGTGTCTAGGTAAATACAAATTTTAAATCTCTGCAATTATAGCAGTTATTAGTGTAATATGTATTGTATTTTGTATTGTGTTGACAAGCTGTTGACCGCAAATTGCAATCAAGACTCAAGAGGTGGGACTCATTTTACTTTTCTCTGCGTGTAGATTTCGCGTCGCCCGCCGTTCGCTGTTACCATAGCGCCGCACTGCAGCGCGCGCATTGCGTTCCATTTTTAAATTCTTTTTTTTTATTACAAAAAAGGAATATTCTATGAAGTGATTTTTTTTTCAATTGTTTTGTGAATGTGATAATGTGTGTAATGAAGTGCGGAATATTATTGTTTTTTATTTTAATTTGTACGGAATTTGGCAAGTACCTAATGATACAATTTTGTTATACTTACATTTTATAATATGTCGTTATTGATTTGTTTTATAATGTATATGCTTGCAAACATTTGAAAAGTGCTACGTAAGTAGGTAATAACTAATATGAAAAGACAGAACGATTTGGTTTTCGGTATTTATTTAAATAAACTGGTGTAAGCTACTTACCTATTAATATTATATCTAAGTAGGTACCTATAGTTATTTGTGTTCTTTCTTTACTATTATTTTGATGGATCTCAGTTATCTGAATAAATAAACTTGATTATTTTTATTATAAAAAAAATTAAAGTTATTAATCAAAATATCAATCTATCAAGCTTCATGTAATCACTAATCAGCATTAGAAACTTTTTACACACTTACTAAACAAATTAAATTAATGATAATTAAACTTACAACACCACTTTTAAAATACAATAAATAAAATAATGAAGAAATTATTGTGAAATTACAAATGTAAGGTTAATAGTTTACCAACAAACCGTGACTTTGGTTACTCGGTAATATCTAATTAGAATGACGTCGTCGATCGTATGACAGTTTCTGTTTTAATAATACATAAATGCCGCTCGAGCAATCATTACACATTTTTTCCACTAAGATGATATCGCTATAAATAGTGAGATTTTCTTAATTAGTGAACATACGAAACTTAATTGGTAAGTATGTCTTTCCTTCGCCATAGACAATGAATGCAGGTAGGTACTAAACTTATTTAAAATCTAGAGAGATATATATGTATATTTAGAATTGGGTCAATTTACTAGGTAAACTGACAACTACTTTTTTTTAAGGGGGGAAAATCATCGAATGACTGCTCCCGCCTGGGTGAGGCGGGAGAGTGTGTCAGACTCTTACTGACTAAAAACCACCCCGTTCCGTCTCCTGCACGTCGAGCCGGAGCCCGGTAACTCGTTAGGTTCTCCGCGACAAACTACTTGTATAATCTTTATCTATTTCCGAGAGTTTTTCTTCGCCTCAGTCTTGGTTGAATATCTATTTAAGACTGGGTAGCGTGATGCACGTTACACACATACTTACACATATTAGCTTCGATCAACAATAACAACTAGATAAAGGGTTACGTACAAAATCAAGCTCCAGTTCTGTCCGTGTGAATAATAATAGTAAAAAATAACAAACAGAGAAAAATGTTTTAAATTAGTTTTTAGTTCAACCTAATAAAAACCATGGCACCTAATAATAAAGTCATAAATCGTCAAAATATTATCTAATACTTACGACCATTCGTCATATAAGACAAGAAAAGTATTTTCTTACTCCTGTCATGTAGAAATTAAAAGACATAAGTTATACAATATCTAGTTTGAATTCAACCTTAAGGTCGAACAAATAAAGATAATTTTTCCATTATTGTCTTGCGATCTATATCGTTTTGTTTTGTTTCGTTTTGCTTCTTCAAATTTCGAATTTCGCTACAGGAGGTATGTATGGAGTCGCGTTGGACACTAAAATAATTTTATAATATGAAAATTAACATTTCGGGATCTTAGTATACATCACTAATTTTTATTAGCGGTACGTTTTTGTGTATGATATGTTTATTTACTTTATCGTTAAAAGTCTAAGTCTAAGTCAAAATTATTTATTTCAGTTATACCAGGAAGGCACTTTTGAACAACAACAATATAAATTTAAAAGTGAAGCTATTTGCTCATTCCAAGGTGTAGATTCCTATGGAGAAGAACGAGCAAGAAACGATACAATTTCTTATTTTTTCAATACAAATCGACTCCATGCATCCACTGTTCTGTTTATACAAATGTTGGCGAGACTTGGCCAAGGAATCGCCAACACACGCACAAACATTGGTGGCGTTGGTTTATAATTGATAATTTTGTCTAATTTGATATTATTTACTAGTTTAAAAGCTTAAAATATAACTTATACTTTATGTACTTATCAAAAGTAAGACACTCCGGCCGTTATACTGCTTTTTCGGTTGTTATTTTTGCAACTTGCAATTACTCGTGAGACGTGAGTACGTTGGCCGTGTTTGGAGCATACTAAACAAAATAAGAGCTCACTTCTCAAGTGAGCTCTTATTTGTCGAGACGATTTTCTTGCGCCGACCCGATATCTAGTTGTTATTGTTGATCGAAGCATATTAGGTACATAAGTAATATATATGTGTAAGTGTGTGTTCTTTTGTAGTGTAAATAAATCTTGTGATGACATTTTCAAATTGAATTCAACGTGCCTATGTGGCGTTACATTAAAATACGAGGATGTCTGTCAAATAACTTTAATAACAACATACTAATAATTAATAAAAGTGTTACAGTGGTAAAGTAAACAGTTACTATAACGTAACTTAACTACAAGTAACAGGTAGTACTGTATTTAGAGAACATAGCCTACAGTTATCAGTTATGTACTGTAAACTTAATTGACTTGCAACTAACAGCTTTGCAGCATTAATTCAAATAAACATATTATTTGTCTAAAAAAACGCGGGAGGTTTTATTATATTATATTTCATATATATAGTATA